ATGTATGTATGTATGTATGTATGTATGTATGTATGTATGTATGTATGAGGCTTTCTTTATGGTAACTGAATTGAAGTAATGATGTAGTGATTGTTCCTGGACTTGTTACAGGGCTCAAAAAGAGTCTTGAGATCCAATGAATATGTTTTACCACCTGGAGGCTTGATGGAGACTGATCTGGAGTTAACATTTTCACTGCAGGTAACTTTAACTTTCTTGGGCAGAAATAAAGAATTGTTTATCAGTAAAAGCTTTCTTTCTCTATTTTGAACAGAATGTATTTAAGAATAGCACTTCAAGTAACTATGTTATGAATTATTAAACAGTACTTGCCTTCTATTTGTAACCTATGATCAATATTCTTAAAGCATAATCCTGGATATATTTATTTTGTGTTCAAAGGATCTTATTTTCATAATTAGTTTATTATGAGCACAGTCTAAGCTATTTTCCAATCACATTTGTGCTCTAGTTATAAAATGAAGCGTAAAGGAAGGAATATGGAGGCTGCTTGAAAGATCTGGTATTCCTTCTTTACCTCTCTGTGAATGTTTCACCAGAAGCACCTTAAAAATGATCTTTCAGGTCAATACTCTTTTTTTACAGTATCCACATTTCCTGAAAAGAGATGGTAACAAGCTCCAGATCATGCTGCAGCGCAGAAAACGGTATAAGAATAGAACTATTCTGGGCTACAAGACTCTGGCAGTGGGCATCATTAACATGGCTGAGGTAAATGGAACTACAGAAATATTGTAACACAGCTATCTGGGAATTGATGGGGAAGAGGAAATCGTTATTTAGGGTGTTGATTTAGGACCAGAATATAACACTGGCTGCTTTGTACATTGTCCAAGGAAAGCATGGAATGGTATTAGTCTATGCTAGAGGACTTTTGTGTTGTATCCTCTACTCAGGTCATGCAGCACCCCACAGATGGAGGGCAGCTTTTGGGCCTTCACAGCAACATCAAGGATGTGAGCATCCGGGTGGCTGAAATCAGCATCTACTCACTTTCTAGTCAACCTATCGATCATGAAGATGGAAATGTCCCCTCTGGTCCCAAAATTAAGGCATCTGGTAAGGTTTTGTTTATAAAGCTTCACCCTGCAGGGTTTAGTTGAAGTGGTTCTCTGTTTGCCCCAAATCCTTTGGACACGTCTGGATTATATTATTATTCCATCTTGAAGTATTTTTTTTCTTCTTCTGTTAATCCACAATAATGTTAGTGATCCTTCTTCTAACGTGTGGCTAAATACTGGCATACATTGTCCAAAATCACAGTAATTGGTCCCAGTTTGGGTATCTTCAAAGAGGAATTCCAAAAATTGTAACTATAGGTTACCTCTGTTATCTGAAGCATTTTAGTAGCACTTGCTTGGAACACAACCAGAAGGGTGAGAACCAAACACTTCATAGTAAAACTAAAGAATATGTAGACTGTATCTCACATTGAAATAAGAACCGTAGAATATTTCAGATGTAGCACAATTCTACATTTAAAATTGTGGTCTAGAAATGGCTTCCAAATGAGATCACATTGTAGATCACATTTACTTTTTAGATATGGATTTATTCTAGACCTTGAGGCATAATCTTCCAGTTTTTTTCACCATTCATAATTCACCATGCGTAGAGGAGATCAGAGATCTTTTCCATTAAACAGCATCCTTACAGCTATTATGTATAATGTTAAATATAATATCAGTTTAGTATGTTTTAAAGAAATGTATGGTTTAGTGAGGTTTAATAAAAACACCTCAGAGTGTAATGAGATAACAACTTTCAAAATTTGTTCTTTTCTGAGATGAATTGTCATTATGTTCCGTTGTGTTTTGTCACTCTTCTCATGAACCTTGCAGTTACTTCCTTCCATTAGCTTGTAGCCTTCCGTTAGAAAATCTAGTGCCTTATTGTTGTATTTTCTTCCATTCTTCTGTATAAATTCATGAGTGGCCATGGTAACCATCTTTTTCCATTCTAGATCGCTCTCCAGATATTGATAACTATTCTGAAGAAGAGGATGACAGCTTTTCCTCTGAACAGGAAGCCAGTGATGATGCAGTACAGGGCCAGGTATTTATCTATCTATTGGCCTTTCCTTTCCTGTAAGACAAGAGTTCAAAAGCTGGGTATTTTTCAGGTGTATTTGAGTTACAAAAGCCTCAGTTCTTGAGGATGATAAGACTTGTTCGACAATATTGATTACTCACTCTTACTAAAGGAGATTATGAAGAGTATATCTTTTTTGAGTTACCCTTCCAGCTGTCAAAGATGGGATATATTTTAGTGCTAAGTACCAGGTATAAATTGCTAGTCTCTTTCCTCCCACTTCAGCAGCTAATCTGTACCCAGTTTATAATAGGCTTAGGGGAGGGAGGGAGGGAGGGAGAGAGAGAGAGAGAGAGAGAAGGAGAAGGGGAGAGGGAGAGAGAGAAAGGAGGGGAGGAGGAGGGAGAGAATATAATTGATTAAAAGAATATTTAATAGATGATAAAATATGAGAGTGCCCCAAACTGAGAATTGAGATGCAATGGAGTTTTGTCCTGCAATTTAAACAGAGGCATGTAATAAGTGATTAAGGTTTTTTCCTCCTTCACTTACCAGAAATAGCAGATGTTTTTTCATTGTGGATGGATCCTTGTGGGAGAAATAAAAGCCATTAAGAGAGAAAAACAGGTTTCTAGCAACAGGGGTGAATCTATTGAGATATTTATTAGGGAACAACTAATAAGTATCTGGAATGCTACTGTTAAAATAATTTTAATGAATCGTACACATTCTTTTGACCCAGAATAAGCTAGCTCTTAAAACATACCTTCTGAGAAAATTCCCCATCTCAACTTTCTATTCATTGATCATCAGCCATGTAATCTCTTATTTGTTGCTCTCTAAAACTCTCTAATTAATATCCAAGGAATCATCAAGTTCACCCCGCTCCCTGAAACCAGATGGTCATGACAGTTTATTGTCCTCTCTTTCTATTCAGGATTTGTATGATGAAGATGATGAAATGAGGAAGCCAAAGAAGGCCAGGCGGAAAATGATCCGAACTACATCAATGACCCGAGTAAAGTCAGCCCTTTTTTTTCCTGGGGGTGGATTTCTGTGGGCTTTAGGTGGGAACAGGAGCAAGGGCACTCCATAATAAACCATGATTGCAAGTCCGACTTTACTTTTCCCCTTTCTTCCCACAAGGTGCCATCCATAAATAAATTCAGAGAGAGCGAGAAATTCATGTAGTCTTCCATCAGCATAGATTTCAGGGTTAGCTATGTTATAGACTTCTTTCTGGATTCAGATTCTTTTTTTTTTAAAGAATATAGTGATATTTTCTATTTTTTGCCACGAAAGCAGAAATAAATGCTTAGAATAGCCACATATTAGGATATCTGATACCTTATTACTTAAATCTATCACATAAAAGATGGGATTGATTTGTTTCCTAATACAGGATAAATAATAATGGGTTTAAATAACAAGGAAATAGATTTCAATTGGACATTAGGAAAAATGTCTTAATGATAAAGGCTATTTGACATTGGAATAGACTGCCTCCAAAAGTGGTGGACTTCACTGAAGATGTTTACATTTATGTTGGATGGGAAGTCATTATAGTCAATTCCTATGGAAGATAAAGGTTGGACTAGATCAGGGGTGTCAAACTCGCGTTGTCCCGTTGATGTATCTGGACTTTTTTCCCCTTTGCTAAACCAGGCGTGGGCGTGACCAGCGTGTGATGCATCTGGCCCGCGGGCAGGGAGTTTGACAGCCCTGGACTAGATGATCAAGGTTCCTTCCAACTGTTCAGTTCTGTGATTCATTTAACACGTGTTGTAACATGCATAAGAATAGTAACATCCAGGTAGGAAGCTGTTGGGATGAAAAGGCCATACCTGAGAGGGCATCCACGTTCAGCAGATGGGAGCAACAGCTGGGAGTCCTCCCTTCCGGCACAGGGATTCCAACTCCCAGTTTTTCCTTTTTAATCTTTAGTTCTGCTGCTCCTGCTGCTCCTGATTAAATCCACAAATGATTAGGTGACCATCTAGAATCAGTAGAGGTCAGCTCTGAGAAAGAAGCTGACACTGATGCTGCTATTCACAAGGGATTGCTCATCCCCTCCCTATGGAAACGTGGGGAAATTGGGCTGCTGTTAGGTCATTTTGGCTTCTGTGTTTGGGCCATGTTTTAGTTCTGCTGGGAGGAAATGGCAAGATGGGCCAATTACAGAATACGTTGTAGTGTACATCCAGCTGGAGGAGAGGTCTCTAAACTTGGCAACTTTAAGACTTGTGGACTTCAACTACCAGAATTCTCCAGCCAGCAAAGCTGCCAAGTTTGCCAAGTTTGGAGACCCCTGAGCTAGAGGGAGGTACCAAAGGAAGACTCTTCCTCTATTATTAATCTGTTTCCTTTCAACTTCTTTTATATTTTAGCAACCAAACTTCAAGCAGAAATTTGTTGCCTTGCTGAAGAGGTTTAAAGTGACAGATGAGGTAAGGAAATTGATTTTGGATAGATGTGGAGACAGCTATTTTCCCTCTTCACTCAATATTTGTTGAACACTTTTACTGAATATTTTAAAAGGGGAAAAATCATAAACCTAAAGAAGAGGACAGGGAAAAGCACGAAGCAAACAAATAAGAGATTTTTTTTCCTACCCAGCTTAATACTTTTTTACTGTCTTCATTTAACATTCAAAATTTGCCGCAACAGTAATAAATACCAGTGCCATCAACCTGCTGTTTTAATGCCTTCTCATGAAGACTCCCCCCCGCCCAAAAAAAAAGAAAAAGAAAAATTGGGTGCAAACTACCCAGTAGCCAAAGTGCTACTCATTATCTTATTTATTATCCTTTCCATTTTGGTTCCTGTGCTGGCCTTAGGTGCTCAAAACTTGAAAGATTTGAGTGACTGAAAACGTTGACAGATGTGGGCAGCCCCTCCCCCCCGCATGACATCGTTTCATAACAGCTGGCAGCACTGGGTATGCGTTGCAACCCGGGAAAGGGAAACCATGTAGCATAATCCGGTTCTGAGTTAGTTAAAAGTGCTCCTTCGATCCCAGAGTATTAGGAGACATGTTCTATGTAAACTATATACACTATCTCAGGAGAGTAGAAGTACATTCTCCCAGAATTATTTGGTTATTAGCGATTCTGTAATTTGGCTTTAATTCATTCAGTTTTGCCTGACGCTGCAGAGCGTAAAGCAAATCCTTTGCTTTGGTCATCGAGATAAAACTTTGATCCCGTAGGACTCAATTTCCCAGTTTTTTCAGGAGGAGGGAGCACTCCTTTTCCCCAACCCGATGGCCTGGTTTAAGCTTCTGCATGCAATCCCTCATTTTCTCTCCGTGTCTCTATTTTATAAATACTTGCACTGTGGAGTGCTTGGCAGAGGATGTTGAGCTGGGTAGCTTTGGGGGGGCTCCTTCAGGATCAGAGGTATTTTATTGTATAGCATAAAGGCTTGTGCTTAGCCACCGTGGGATTGATCGGTAACACTTTCAAAATATAGAGAATGTCAAAAACATTTATAAGATTAATACCCTTAGGGAACAAACTATTTCTTCCTTTTTCTTTAAGAGCTTCTAGAGAACTATAGTTATGTGAGACATTTTCAGGAAAACCAACAGAGAATTCTGTGGCACTTTAAACATTTTTCTCATGAGCCTTTATAAATCATAGCCCACAACATTAGTTGCTCTGCAGAGGCCTGTTCCTGTTTCTGCCGTAATTTCCCAAACGTGTAAAAAAAAAATTCTCTCCCTTCATAAGCGGCTCTCTATAGCCTCTAAATGATCAGGAAATGAAGTTGTGTTTTGCGGTCCACAGCCTTTTAAAAATTGTCCAGTCCTGCTTTATGATTAATTTGAGAGACTCAAAAAGTATTCAGATGACTCTAAAATTAAGTACATGCACTCTCTCCCTCTCTCTTTTTCTCTAACACACATTCATCTCTTGACTACTATACCCTCAAGTGACATAGGATAAATGAATCATTACTCGAGATGGATAAATATATGTAAATCTTGAATTGCCAAATTGTCTATAAATGAAGGAAGTGTCTTTTCCCAAAGGTGTTTTTTCAAAGCGATAGCTGGACTTTCTTGTATGTCTTTGATGATGTTTTGCTTCTCCTCCAAGAAGCTTGAGAGCTGAAGAAGCTGAGAAGTGAAACATCTTCAAAGAAAAATAAGAAACTCCAGTTGCCTCTTGGAAAAAGCACCCTTGGGACAACCATGACCTGGATAATTGAGAATCTCTATAGACAGGAAGGAAGTGTCTTCTATATAAGTCCAAAAATTATCAAATAAAGAGGCATACCCATTTGTAATGAAGCTGTGTTTGGGCCTCTTCATCTGTTAAAAGAGGTACTAATTTTGGATCAGGTGGTACATTTGGTAGGATGGTCCTTATGATATGGTATTCCATATTGAGAAATGGGGTAAGATTGAGTTTCGTTGGCTTCTGTCACTACTGTCCTTCCTTAGAAAAGGAATATAGGATCATACAGCAATCTTAATTTTATTCTTAGGAGTGCTTAAATTTATTTTCTTTTAGTAATAAATATTAACGTTCTGTTTTTCCCCATGTGTTTTAGAGACACATCAAGGCTATAATGTTGTTATTAAAAACTCCAATTTTTTTAAAAAAATGATTTCATAGTGGTCAATTTCAGTGGCTCAGATATATATAGTTGTATTTATCCTAGTGCATCAGCAAGGAGAATTTTAATTTTGGGTATGGTTTTTTATATGTAATAAAAACCGGGGGGAAAAGACACCATGAATTAATGGATGAAATTAGTATTTTATGTTGGTGTACCATTTTCTTCCTCACCATGGTTTGGGATCTCCAGGTTTTGGATTCTGACCCAGTGGATCAGACCCAAGAAGTGGAGGAAGACCTGGGTTTGCTCTATGACAGCCTTGAGGAATGCAACAATAGTGACAGCGGCCCTGAAATTGAAGATAATGAAAGTGTTCATAGCACTCCTAAGCCAACTTTGAGGTAAGAGCTCAAAGATGAAAAGCCACTGAATTTGGCTTGATGAACTGTGGCAGGAAATATTTGTCCTTCAAAGCTTTCCTTTGGATTTCAGCCTCTCAACATTGTCTCCAAAATTCAAGTAACTCCATGCCCAGCCAGGAATCCATTGCACGTCTACTCCAAAGCAAGCCCCAGTTGAGTTAACTGAGGCTCAGTCCCAGAGAGCTGCATTTAGCTCATCAGCCCTGACTTTCCTTCTTCTTCAGTGCAGCTGGGCTGATGACTTGCAAGACACAGTTTCCGCATTTGTGATTCATTTGCTGGGAAAGGGAAGACTTGGGATCAAAAAGTAATTTGGTGAAGGATGGGGAAAGCTTGAGGCTGACCTTAAATGTGACAGGCTAATAAAAGAGCCCTGCGTAAGCCACAACAGACCAGCAGGGATTGATGAAGTAGCCAAGCTCCTCTGGGGCAGTTATGCTGAGTCTGCCTTGCAAATGACTGGGTAAAAGAAGAAAGAGACTGATGGTGAATTTTGTATTTTAGTGCTTGCTTGAGGAAGTGGTGGAATACCTCTTTAAGTGTTTTCATATGGTTTTTCTTTCACGGGGACAGGCTTCCAATTTTATTAATCTTTAGGAGGATTTAGTGGTAATCTGAGAGATGGAATAGGTCTACAGTTAATCTGTATCTCTTAGTTCTGCAAATCACACTATTGGGAAAAGTGCAGTGGACAACCAGAGCATAGATGGAATTGAATATTGTTTTACTGAAAAGGAGAAGCAGACTTTGCTGACCTCTGGTGCTTTACAGATGGGTTCAGCTGTAACTCCAATGCTTGGGAATTGTAGTCCCGCACAGTCAACAACAATTGACAACGTTCAATTTTTATTTTTATTTTTTTGATAGTAGAAAAAACTTTGGGGGAATATCTGACTGCTTGTTTACAAAGCGGGAAATGGGGCTATATTACTTCCTTGGAGCATCTCTGGTGGTGCCAGCCCTACTTCTCCCAAGGCAGCAAAGATTTTAGAAAAGGTTCTCCTCGTTCCTGAAGGCCATATCTGCACAACTTCCTGTAAATTTGTTTCATTGGTGGATGAATGTTCTTATCTGTATCACATTTGAAGCATAGATAATGAAGAAGGTGCATAATGCACATCTCAAATCTCCAGGAAAATGGCCCCGCTGATCAATCCACAAGGAAGGTTGTGTTTGTCCTATAAGTTTGAGAATGTTCTGCGGTTCGTCAGTGACCTGAGAAAAGGGGGAAGGTGTCTCCCTCCTTTTCCATTTGAGAAAAATTCTCTATCTGTTCAGTGCAGGTAGTGATATGGTAATGCAAGCCCTTTTGGGATTGGGTTTTTTGCTATTTGAGATGGTACTTTAAGACAATATCCTTGAAATTAGCTCCACCAGAGATCTATTTGCCCAGATGCTTCCATCTCTGAAGAACTGTTGGTTTGAGCTGAGTGAGTTAATGTTAGAGTAGTTAGAAGCACATGAGAATTGACAGTTGATGGCATTTCTCCTTCGAGTATATTAGCTTTCTTTTGTTTTACACTAAGATTGGTCATCCAGTAGAGCTTGCCTTGAGGTTATGGTCCTTTGTGGGTATTCCCTGACATGCATAGTATTGTTAGAGGGGTTATGGAGACATATGTGCACAACTATGCATATCCCATTAGTTTTTATTTTTGTTTATATATCATATTTTGGAACTGCCATGCCCCTCGCAGAGAGACTCTAGGCAATTTACAGTACAATATTAAAACATAGAAACAATATATAAAGGTTAAAAAGTAACAGGAGACAAGTTCCTTGCAAAGGTCTTTGAATGACTTTTGCAAGGAACTTGTCTCCTTTTACATTTATTTAACATTTATTACATTACATTATTACATTTATTACATTACATTTATTTACCTTTATTTAACCTTTGTATGTATAATGTGAAATCTGAAAAAAAAAATCTTAGCTACTTTGGGTGATTCCACCTTGTGTAAACGGTACCTGTGTTCACCAGATACTTTACCCTGTTCCTTTTCAGATACTGGAAGTGCAAGATCTTTACAAAGAATCATGTAATCTGAGTTCTTGCAGGTAGCTTTGAGTAAACACCCATATCTCCAAACTCTATTTATCTTCCGATAGAAATGATACAACTCAATCTTACCTAAACCCAGGAATATACTTTAATGCTGTGCAAAAGCTCAGAGTTAGACCAATCTGCAATGTAGATCTTATCCTTTAGTTGTGCTGTTGGTGCATATTTGTTACAAAATAAAGTTGCAAGCTTGAGCCAAAGCAGACTCACTTAGTTTCTCATCCTATGATAGAAATCATAGGAAGGTAACAAAGAGTTACCTTTCAGTTTTGCATTTGAGTTTTTCCCCCCTCAGCCATTTCAAACCTAACAATAGATCTGAACAATAGCTGCCCCCTTTCTTGTGCAGATTCAGTTACTTTAAGAGAGAATCTAGTTGGTTGGGGAGAATATACTTGTTCTAGCTGGAAGTAGAAGTGCTTTGGTCTATTTTATTCCTTCTCTGTTGAAAGTGACACTTCAAAAACCCCTTTGCTCACAAGGATTGGCCCTCCCTCCCTTCCAACCATCTTTTTGTGTTGCTGGAAGACCAGGTCTTTGGTGATGGTTTTGCTTGTGGTGCTCCATGGGGATAGAGAATGGGGTGGAATTCAAGCTTGGGTTATGGTGACTTCACTTCTCCCTCGTTTCTCTTTCTGTCTGTCTGTCTCTCTGTCTGTCTGTCTGTCTGTCTGTTTCTTCTGCAGGCGCTTCTTTGAGGGCGTCTCTCACTCTGGTTCCCAGACTGAGATCAGCAGTCTGCACAGCCAAAAAGGGCAGGAGCGAGAGTCGGGCAGCCCTGTGAGTTGTTATTCCTTCCTTCCTTCCTTCCTTCCTTCCTTCCTTCCTTCCTTCCTTCCTTCCTTCCTTCCTTCCTTCCTTCCTTCCTTCCTTCCTTCCCTCCTTCCCCCGACTTTCCGGTTTGCCCATCCAGAAACTCTGTGCTTTAATAACAATTCCTGCTACATGCATTTGCTTTCTTCTTTCTTCTGTCTTTCCTTAATGAGCTTCCTTTTTTCCAATTTAGAAGAAGTAGGATAGGAGCAAGCCAACCAAACTTACTTAGCTGGGCTCCTTGGGTTCCTGCAGTGATGAAATGAAAGGGAGGGTGGCTATTTTCCCCTACAACTTCTTCTTGTGGCCCTTGGGTCTTTTCCCAATATTCTGGACAATGAGAAAGCACAATGTATTTTGACATGTGCCTGTTCTTCCCCTGTCTGGAATAGCCCTGCTTCTGCTCCTTTCTTAAGTTTTCATGGATTCAAAGTTGTCACTACTCACCCATTTTCTTCTTCCCTCCCCCATGCCTGCTTGCTCTCTGCCCACTCTCCTAGGGAGAAGCAGAGAAGTGGAAAGTGGGTATCCCACGCACCCAAGATGAGGCTGCTGTGGAAAATGCAGCTATGGTGAGTCCTCTCCTTTCCTAGCTGTTTTATGAAGTTTCTGCCACCCTCCCAACTGACCTGGCAGTTTATCCAAATGAGTAAATGGTTGACTTCATGTTGCTCATCTGATCCTGGTTGTCAGTGGCCATCAGTCTGACACTTATGCTGGGCAAACGATAGCTATTCCATTGGGAACAGAACAGTCTTTGGGTCCAGATTTCCAAAATATTGTACAGTTGAGTGTTCCTAAGATAAAACAAAGCTGCCATGTGTCCTACTGCAGGGATTCTGAAATGGTTGGCACTCACTGTGTAGATGTGACCAATCCTTGCCACTTATACTCATGGGGCCCTGCCACATATGGTCCCACAACAGCATATATTTTGTTTTTGCTTTGACCCATCAAACTCATTAGCTCACAACAAAGAGATGCTTTCTCTGGCTGATTTGTAATATTGTTTCTCATGAGGAACCATATGTATGGGGACTAGACAAACTATTTGGATAATTTTTAGAACAGTAAACTGGGATCTATAAGTTAAGCATTTGTAAGTGGTTGGTCTAAGCATCTTCCTGCTTCAGTCTGTTCTAATGTCTGTGTGAGCAGCAGCTTTAGAGGTGGTGGGAGAAAATGACTCAAGGAGCCCTTGAGATACATTGGCAATGTTTGGGGAAATTCTAGCATTAATCTTTCTTTATCAGTGCTAGATACACTAGTCATCCACTCTGTATATTCCGGGTACTACTCCCCAATACCACATTCACATGAAGAACAGTACCCTATGCTTTCTTCTACTCTATAAACATCCACAGTCTCTGGGGGTACCAAAATATTTGGAGCTCTTGCTGGCATATCTACATCCTGGAGTAGTGGTGGATGGAATGAAGGGAATTTAGAAAGCACCATGTTGAAGGGAGTTTTGAAAACACAATGGTTGTACATAGCTCTGTTTGGTTGATACTTTGTTCTCAAGGGCTGCATTCTGCTGGCCAATTCAGTTGTTGATTCATCCCACCATCTCAGTGCACCGTGGAATCACATATTCTTTAATTATACAGGTAATCCTTGACTTATGACCATTTGCTTAATGATGGTTTGAATTAATGGTGGTTTTGGAAAGGGTGCAATGGGGCCTGTAAAGCAATTCTGACCATTGCAAAATATTGCACTACCAGTCTCATGATAGCGATCTGACTTTTGGGCAACCAGTTTGCACTTACAAGCAATCGTATGACTGCCATTTGCAGTCTTGTCTGCTGGCTTCCCCAGAAAGTCATTGCAGGAAAGCTTGCAAGCCTGCCGAGAGGACTATTTCTAATTCTTGAGGACTGACTGAAAGAGCTCCCTGCGCCAAAGGATTTCAGCTCCATGCTTGCTTAGATTGTTGAAATCCACATCCAAATTCAAAGGGAGACTCTACTGAAATCCAAGCAGACGTAGAGTTGAAATCCTTCCATAGGGAGCTCTTTCAGGAAGCCCCCAAAGACAAAGAGAGAACCAAGATCAAAGTAGGGACTTCAGCCCCTGAGCAGAGAG